AAGTTTCGTCTTGATGGCACAATTGAACGTCGGAAAGCTCATTTAGTGGCTTGAGGTTTTACTCAGCAACAATGTATTGATTATAAGGGGATCTTTGCTCTTGTTGCTCAAATATCCATTGTTTGTATTCTCATTGCGGTCGTTGCTGCTCATCGTTGGTCCTTATATCAGATAGATGTCAAAAATACTTTTTTTCATGGCTCTTTATCTGAAACAGTATATATGCAATCGCCTCCAATATTCCTCCGGGATATGTATGTCTTATGGTCTCAAGCAGACACCCTACGCTTGGTTTGAGTATTTTCGTGATGTCGTGCTCAAGACGGGTTTTATGAAAAATCATCAAGATGCTTCTTCGTTTGTTCGCATTACATCGCGTGGAAGAGTTTTATTACTCATCTATGTAGATGATATGATCATTACAGCTGATGATGTGGTTGGTATACAGTACGCAAACTCTCAGTTGCAACAACAATTCCACATGAAGGATCTTGGATCTCTTCAGTATTTTTTTGGTCTAGAATTTTCTTAAGGCTCGCGGGGTGTACTACTGTCTCAACAGAAGTATCTCTCGGATATTCTAGATCGAGCTGAGCTAACTGATGATGCAACTGTCGATACTCTACTCTAACAAAATATCAAATTTCGCTCTACTGATGATAAGCCTCTATCTGATCCTACCCGATATCGACATCTTATTAGCCAGTTGGTCTATCTGTGCATCTCTCGATCAGATATCTCTCATGCTATTGGCATTATCAGTCAATTTGTTAGTGTCCACGTTCTGTACACTATGCTATCTTGTTACGGATTTTTCGGTATCTCCGGGGTACTAACACTCACTTTCTTTTGTTTCCTGCTACATCTAAGTTAGAGCTTTGTGCATATTCTGATGTTGATTTGGTTGATGATTCCACTATCCGAAAGTCTACCACATGTTATTGTATATTTCTTGGTTATTTTCTTATTTCCTGTCGGAGTAAAAAACAAGATGTTATTGCTCTTTTCAGTACCGAGACAGAGTATCGTGCAATGTCCAGATTATTCATCTTCGTCGCCTTCTCAGTGATTTCGGTATTTCTGTTACGACTCTTACTCCTCTCTCTCTACTGTTGTGATAATAAGAGTGTCATCCAGATTGCTAATAATCCAGTATTTTATAAGAGGACCAAACATATTGGGATCGACGCTCATTTTGTCCGTCAACAAGTTATCAAGGACAAGACAATTCTACTTACTCATGTCTCATCCGCTAGGGGTGTGCAAACGGTCGGTTCGGTTCGGTTTTTATCAAATTTTGAATAACCAAACCGAACCGCCCATTATTCAAAACCGAACCGAACCATTGCAAGTCGGTTCGGTGCGGTTCGGTTCGGTTCGATTTGTTCGGTTCCATGAAATGAACAAAGTATGCACAGCTTCAAGCCTTCAATACCATCTTAGACTGTCAGACTGAAGACAAAAAGGAAACATGCAAGTATTCTTAAATTACACATAAAACAAAAGTCATAAAATGAACATCAACACCAACACTAGTCTTATTATAGTTTCAAAGAGTTTATCATCCACTAGCTGGATACCTCTCTAGCCCACACAAAAGTACAAAACACAACTAATTATACTGCTGCTGCTTCTTCTTATGATGCTGAATTTAGAGCTCTGGCTTCGGTAAGAAGAGGCACCAACCACCAACTTGCCTTTGTAGTACCTTGCAGCAACACCTGTTTAAGATCATAGTATTCAAGAGTCAACAATACATGCATCAGGAGCAACCCCCCGAAATAAAAGACCAGAAAAGGTTTTAACACATAGACCCCTATGCTATTACCACAAATGCAGTAACACGTATAAGACCAAGTGACCTCATGTCAAAGGTGTTTGCCTCATAATTCCATTGGCTGCATGTGCAGGTTAACATTCTATTTTTCAAGTTCATTCAGCTTTTCTCAAATCAAATATCTGTAAAATCAAACCATATATTCAGCTTTTCAAGTTCATTCAGCTTTTCTCAAGTATCTATATGTTCAAAGGGTACTCAAATAAAGTTTGTTGTGTACTATATTGCATAAGTTGCATCTGTTATATATTCATGCTCTGCAGATACATGTAAACTAAAATGGTCTGAAATTCGTGCAAGAGAACAAAGGTTATATACTTCAATACCATCTACAACATTTTGAAAGCAAGGATCAATACCATTTGAATGCTTGCCCAAATAGAAACAATTATTACCTGTGTTCTTCAAGCTCTTACAAATCTGTGATTGTCGGTTCAATTGAAAGCTTACCCAAATCTGAAAGGTAAACAAATAAAAAATTAATAAAAAAATCAAATCATTTAACATACAAAAACATAAATGGTAAATACCTATGTCTAACTTCTCAAGAGCATCCAAATCTTCTTCAAAGCAAATTTTACTTGAACCCGGCGTCGGCCATGAAGACAATAATGAGTGATGAGTAGCTTCTGTAAGAACAGTATGCAAATCATTTATACAAGATTAATGTCTTCCCTAGAACAACAAAAACTTAAAACGAGAAATTAAGGTAAAAGAGATTACACCCCCATTCTACATCATCAAATTGAACACACATCTAATCAGAGACAGAGAATGTTAATTGTGGGACGAACAGGAGATTAGACTACAATCCTTCAATTGATTACCAGAAATCACGATTCACGCTAGCCAATTAAGCATCGATCCTCTTTTGAGGAGGTATCCCCTTCCTTAGTGGCCATGAGAACAAAATTAAAATGGGGAAATAGCTAGAGCAAATGAGGAGATGCAGAAATCGTAACAGACGGATGGAAGTCTAATTGAGCTAAAATAAATAGCAAGTCTAATTGAGCTAAAAGAAATTAAGATAAAAAATTACAGAAAGAGGAAATAGAAAGGGGAAATAGCAAGTCTAATTGAGCTAAAATAAATTAAGATAAAAGAAATTAAGAACACAACTGAAGATGGAGAAACGCTAACCAGACGGAAGGCGTTGACGGAAGTTGGAGCGGTGGTGGTGGCTGGATCTCAACAGATCTTGAGGTTGGAGACGGAGACGAAGACGGAGGGAAAAACGACGGAGACGGAGTAATCGGCGTTGGAGACGAAGACTTAGGGCGGTGACGGAGACGGA